TCCTCCTCCTCACCCTCCTCCTCCTCATCATCCATTCCTCCTCCTCCTCCTTCACAGTTACACAATATGAATACTACGTACTCTCCTCTTTGCCCTGGTGGCGTCCGGGGAATGTCCGGCCCCCCTCCGCGTACTGGTTTTTTACACACAGGATTTCCGGGAGCTGGGTTTTCGCCTGGTGTTTTTTCAAAATGCTGCTCTCGCTGGAGCGCTGGCCTCATTTTCGGGCTACAGCTCATTCCGAATTGTGCTCCCGCTGCAGCGCTGGCCTCATTTCCACGCTTCCGTTCGTTTCGAATCGTGCTCCCACTGCAGCGCTGGCGTCATTATGTCTAGCGCCATGCCACGGCATGGTTTTCGGTCCTTCCAAGTAGGCCTCAAAATCTAAAAAGTAGCCCCCCGAAAAAACCATCGGAAGTGATTACACATTCGGTGTTGATTCGTTGATGTTGTGGGCCGCAGAAGTCACCCCCCCCACTTTGGGGCGTCGCCACGCCATGCTATTATGTCAGGCTACGCGTCCTCATTTCCGCGATTCCGCGCTTGCGTTTTTTTTCAAATGCTGCTCTGAAGGGCTGGCCTCATTTTCGGGCTACCGCTCGTTCCGAATCGTGCTCCCGCTGCAGCGCTGGCCTCATTTCTCGCGCATCCGCTCGTCCCGAATCGTGCTCCCACTGCAGCGCTGGCGTCATTATTTGCAGTGCCATGCCACGGCACGGTTTTCGGCCCTTCCAAATAAGCCCCAAAATCTAGGAGATGGCCCCCCGAAAAAACCATCGGAAGTGATTGCACATTCGGTGCCGATTCGTTGATGTTATGGGCCGCAGAAGCCCACCCCCACTTTGGGGCATCGCCACGTCATGCTATGTCATTCTACGCGTTGATTTTTAACACCAACCTATGCCATGTAATGTTATGCTATGTTGCGACATCCGATTGTCCGAATAGAAAAGAGATCTACGCCATGATAAAGGAAGGGAGGGAGGGGTAGGAAGTCAGATATGACGCGATCGCACCTAGTTTGCCCCCCCCCTTCTCCTCCTCCTCCTCCTCCTCCTCCTCCTCCTCCTCCTCTCTCCTCCTCCTCCTCTTCTCCTCCTCCTCCTCCTCCTCCTCCTCCTCCTCCTCCTCCTCCTCCTCCTCCCTCCTCCTCCTCCTCCTCCTCCTCCGCCTCCTCCTCATCCGCCTCCTCCTCTTCCTCGTCCTCCTCCCCCTGATCATCTCCTCCTCCTCCTCCTCCTCCTCCTCCTCCTCCTCCTCCTCCTCCTCCTCCTCCTCCTCCTCCTCACCCCTGTCCGCCCTCACCTTTCCTCATCCGCACTGCTCCCGCTCTCCTTTCCACCTTCCCGCCTCCCCCCTCCCTTCCCCTCCTCCGTCTCCCCATCCTTTTCCCTCCTCCTCCTCCTCCCTCATCCTCCTCCTCCTCCTCCTCCTCCTCCTCCTCCTCTTCCAACTCATCATCATCATCATCATCATCATCATCATCATCATCATCATCATCATCATCATCATCATCATCATCATCAGCAGCAGCAGCAGCATCATCATCATCATCATCAGCATCATCATCATCCTCATCCTCACCCGTTCCTCCTCCTTACAAAAATCGTTTCCCTGTCCCCCAAAACCAGTTTTTACGGCGGGCCGGGCGTCTCGCCCGAGACTTCCGCACCACTTCTGAGAAGCTTAGACATTGAAAACAGTTCCACATATGGAGGGCGGGTCGTTTTCAAAATGTGGTTCTCGCACTGGTGCCGCGCACATTCGTCAAAAAATTATGCTAACGGAGTTCCCCACATAAAGAGATTAACGGTTTCGTGGGACCCATTTTCTTGATACCCTCCTCGCTCAGGCGGGGCCTCCCTGGAGGGGTGGGAGGGGCACGAAACCATGTAAATAGTATGGTATTCCGATACCCTCCTCGCTCAGGCGGGGCCTCCCTGGAGGGGTGGGAGGGGCACGAAACCATGTAAATAGTATGGTATTCCGATACCCTCCTCGCTCAGGCGGGGCCTCCCTGGAGGGGTGGGAGGGGCACGAAACCATGTAAATAGTATGGTATTCCGATACCCTCCTCGCTCAGGCGGGGCCTCCCTGGAGGGGTGGGAGGGGCACGAAACCATGTAAATAGTATGGTATTCCGATACCCTCCTCGCTCAGGCGGGGCCTCCCTGGAGGGGTGGGAGGGGCACGAAACCATGTAAATAGTATGGTATTCCGATACCCTCCTCGCTCAGGCGGGGCCTCCCTGGAGGGGTGGGAGGGGCACGAAACCATGTAAATAGTATGGTATTCCGATACCCTCCTCGCTCAGGCGGGGCCTCCCTGGAGGGGTGGGAGGGGCACGAAACCATGTAAATAGTATGGTATTCCGATACCCTCCTCGCTCAGGCGGGGCCTCCCTGGAGGGGTGGGAGGGGCACGAAACCATGTAAATAGTATGGTATTCCGATACCCTCCTCGCTCAGGCGGGGCCTCCCTGGAGGGGTGGGAGGGGCACGAAACCATGTAAGTAGTATGGTATTCCGATACCCTCCTCGCTCAGGCGGGGCCTCCCTGGAGGGGTGGGAGGGGCACGAAACCATGTAAATAGTATGGTATTCCGATACCCTCCTCGCTCAGGCGGGGCCTCCCTGGAGGGGTGGGAGGGGCACGAAACCATGTAAATAGTATGGTATTCCGATACCCTCCTCGCTCAGGCGGGGCCTCCCTGGAGGGGTACGGTACGGTAGGTATGGAATGGTATGGTAGGTATGGTATGGTACGGTATGGTATGATATGGTATGGTATGGTACTGGAGGTATGGTATGGTATGGTACGGTGTGGCATTGGTGTGATATGGTATGGTATGCTATGGTACGCCATGGTATGGTATGGTACGGTATGGTACGTATGGTGTGGTATGATATGGTATGGTATGGTATGGTATGTGTGGTAGGAACTATGGTATGGTACGTATGGTGTGGTATGGTATGGTATGGTATGGTATGGTATGGTATGGTATGGTATGGTATGTGTGGTAGGAACTATGGTATGGTATGGTGTGTGTGGTAGGAATAATATTGTGCTGTATGGAAGATGGAGCGGGAGGTGGGTGGGAAGGAGAGGGTATTCTGGGAAAACAAGAACCCCACTCAGGATGTGGGGAAATGTAAGGGTTTTACGTATTGAAGGGGGGCCGTTTTCAAAATGTACTTCTCGCATTAGCGCCGCGTACATTCGTTCCCAAAAATTGCGAGAGCTTCAAGGATTGAAGGCGGTTCCCTTGCAAAATGTGGCTCTCGCCTTAGCGCCGCGCACACTGGTTCAAACATTTACGCAATTCCACTGCTTCTCATGATCAACGTACCAGAAGCGGTGTTTCGCAAGGATTCAAGTTGATGGCGGTGCAATAGTTATGCTGGTTCGCGGTGTTGAAATCCCACGAATGGCTTTTTGGCACGAGTCAGGATCGTCAAGACGCAACAATCAGGTTGATTCGTAGCGTTAGAATCCCGAGAAAAATCAACGTTTCGGCATGATTCAGGGTCTTCAACGGGCTGTCTTTCAACGAGGCAGTTCCCTCAGTGGAAGTGAACCGCTGTAGAGGCCGATGAAATGGGAATTGGAAGGAAGGTTATGATGCTCCAACCTACTTTAGCCTTGATCACCAGGAAGAATTTCGAGCACCCAAAAAAGTACCGAAACGCAAGGGTTTTCACGTGTCGGGCCCTGGGAGACACTCGCCCGATACTGTTTCGACACTGTTTCGACACTCTTTTGGCACCTTTCCGGGTGCTCGAAATTATTTCTGGGATGCGGTCCTTAAGTAGGAAGGGAACAACTAAAAAGGAGGGTTCATTTCAACATCGATGAAGACTCTTGGGTTTACACTGGTCGTCCTCCTGATCCTTCTCCTCTTCTTCCTCCTCCTCGTCATCATCATCATCATCATCATCCTCCTCCTGGAGGTCGATCGACGGGTCGACGACGGGCGGCACGCGGTCGGGCTCCAGCCGGCGGGCCGGACACACTCCGAGCCCGCCACCGCCCTCCCAGTCGTACCACTGTTGTTTCCGCTCCTGTGGCTGTCGAGGGACGGCCCAGGAGGAAGGAGAGGTGGAGAGCGACAACGACAGCGAAATGAGGGGGGCATAGAGGGAGGGAAAGGGGGCGGGGGGGGAGGAGAGACCAGGGGATGGGACGGACTGGAAGGCGGAGGACGGAGGGAGGGGGAGGAAGGAGTTCGGTTGAGCAGACACGAGGAACGAGGAAAGGGAGGAAGAGGAGGAAGAGAAGGAACAGAAGGAGGGGTTGGAGCTGGAGCTGGACTTGGAGCTGGAGCTGGACTTGGAGCTGGAGCTGGAGTTAGCACTGCAGGCGGAGCTGGAGCTGGAGAAGGAGCTCGAGCCAGAGCTGGAGCTGGAGGAAGAGTTCAAATAGGCATGGAAAAGTACATGCGAGTTAAGAGTGAAGGAAAAGAGGCAGATCAGTAAGAGGAGGATGAAACGAATGAACATGAGGTCGAGGAGGAGGGAGGATATGTTTTCATGGCGTCAGCGCATTCCAGGGGAACCCAGTGGAGGGCCAAAAGAGGTCGCGGGAGTTCTACCTAAGGTCCTGGGGTGAGGACGGGGTTGAAGAGGGCGATAAGGTAAGACAAAGAACACTTGCGACCCATGTTTTCTTTGCCTGCACTCTGTTTTCACAAAAAATAACGGCCTGTTGGATGAGATGGAAATGTGTCCGATGAAATGGATATGCGTCCGGTGCTTAACGGGCAAGCACCGTGCTTCGATCACGCTGCAGGAGGGACACATCTGGCCAAGTCCGACGACCTCCGGTGGAACCTGGAGGCCTCGGCTAGGCATCATCTCACTGCAAAGCACAAGAGAGGCAACGAATGAACCTCTCGCGACGTGGTACGCATGCACGTCAAGGCGCACCTCAATTGCGAAAGTGAACGCACGTGCATGAGAACACGCATGAGCAACAGTGTCCAAGGAGCTGGACCCAGAGAGAACCTGACGCACGGGCGCGGTAGCCACCATGTCCACTGCAAGACATGGTAGGTGGGTCCTCTCATCACTACTTCAAAGACCTACTGCGCATTGCATATGCCGCACAACTGCATTGGGACGCCAGCGTTCGGCGCGTCACTATCTTCAGGGAAGTCACGTGGAACTGCGACGTTACTGCTGGGCCCCCTGGAAATCCGCCGATCCGGCGAGAGTTTCAAAAAACCTAAGCTACAGCCTACAGCCTGAGCTTCAGCTCTGCTTGGGGGGGGCCAGGGGTCTTTGCCAGGGAAAAGGGGGGGGCCTGCCCCGCCTGTGCCCCAGTTTCTGGGCGGGGCCGGGGCACGTTCAAATCCACTAAATTTCACATCGGGGGGCCAGAAAGCCCCAGACGGCCGCCAGACATTTACCAGATGGCTCAAGATACACCCAAGATGGCCCAGGATACCCTCCAACAACAAAAAAACAACAACAACAAAAAAAAACGAGGAGACCTAAATCACAGATTGTGCACCTGCCATTGAAGGATTTGGGTGCTTTATTCTTCTCGGCCTTCCGACGGCCCGGAGGCCCCCGATTTTCCCCCCAGAGGCCTCCAAGATGGCCCCACGACGGCCCAGGCGCCCCTAGAAGAAGGTCCCAAGACGGCCCCAACGGTCCCCAAGCGGCCAAGATAGCCACCAAGACGGCCCCGAAGCGCTCCCAGACTGCTTCCAAACGGCACAACGAGGCGCCCAAGACGGCCCACGACGGCGCCCGACGGTCCAGGAACTCCCGGAGACAACCAAATAAGCTTCCAAAAAGCCCCCACGAGGCTCACAGACCCCCATCAGGAGGCCTCATCCTACGACGGCCCGAAGAGGGCCCCAAGACGGCCCCATAGGCCCATAGGCCACCAAGCGAACCCGTTCACCATCGGGAGCGCCCTGGATCGGCGGCACTGGCCGGAGACCACTACAATAATATGCCACGCCACGGGCGCTTGTCAAGGCCCCACGCCTCTTGATGGCGGCAACTGAAACGAAGCGACTTCGCGCCCCGTCATCAGCCGCGACAGCATCCTGCGAATCACGCGCGGGCCGCGCACTGACCCGGGCAGCGCGAGTAGCCAGACCAGGCAAGGAGACCGCGAACTCGAGAGGCCGCGCGTAGAACAGTGAGCACTCCTGGCCAGAGGAAAACACATACTGGAGCAGGGGAAAGGCCGCGCGAGACTGCAGGGCCCTCGGGCCAGCACCCCGAAGCGATCCATCCCGCGGCACGCGCGCCATGCGCTCAGAGCCGCTTCTCGGCCTCAGCGCGGCGCGACCATTTCCTTGCCCCCCTCGCCGAACTCCTCGCCGCGGCCTTGCTGCACGCCCAGCTTGTCCAGCAACTCCCCCGCCCCGCATTCCAGACCCCCCTCGGGCGGGCCACCTGCATTGCGCGCGCCCCCCACCGCGCGGGGGCTCTCGCATGCTACTCGGTGACCCGCGCCAACCATTTGTCTCGCCCCACTTGATCTGAGGTGTTTGGAGCTGCGGTGACAGCGTGGACTGCAGCTTAAACTTGATCATATTATCCTGCTTCTTCTTATTGCAGCACGTCGGCCTGAGGCGGAAATATCGCATCTGATCCTGTAGCGCCATGAAACCACACTTCTTGCCTGCTATGTTCGCGCCACAGTGACCCTGCAGTGCCTGCTGGACATCGGCGGGGTTTGGGATGCTCCAGGACGCTTTGGAAAGCGCCAGCCACACGTGAGGCCAAGGAAGGCCACGCCGATGATCCCTGCCCGCCTCTCTGCAGCTTCGCTCGCCTCTTACGAGGAGATCACGTTGGCGCGGGCCACGGGCAAGGATGAAACAGCGGCAGGGGGCGTGAACGAGGCCGGCTACGTCGCGGCTGTCGGCGACACATCGGCGCGCGAGCACTCGCGCCGGCGCCCTGAATGGCCTGCGCTGCCTGCGATCCATGTTGTCCTCGGTCCTCTTTCTTCAGGTCGCTGAGGCCCTGGAGCTTCTGCCTGGAGCTGGGCGGCTGCTGCTCATCGCCGTCGTCGGCAGTAGCTGACCGCCCCCTGCCACTGGGCAACCACCGCGTCGGAGGCCTGAGCTGCCACGACGCTGGCGCAGCCGATGATATCGCCGACGCTGCTCCCTCGGCGCCCTCTGACATCGCATGCGATTGGCTGAAGAGCGAAGCGATCGCGATCATGTCGATGAAGCCGACGTCGCTGGAGCCCAGAATTGGCACAGAGTGCGCGGGCATAAATGTTGTGGCCATTCTCACCAGCCATTCTGAATGTATTAATGCGTCCCCGGCTACAGATCCCCGCATGAAACAAATCCACCAGACGCTTGCAAGCTTAGTTCCTGGCCACAACAGCCAGCCCACATACAAAGCACTGAGCGTCCGTGGTTAGAGCCCCCCGATACTTTGCAAACAATGGCGCCGCTGTAGATGGGCGGCGAGCTGACGCCCAGTAGCGCACGGCGCCGGTTGTTATGATCATCACAAGACTGGCCACGGGGGCGAGGTCCGCAGCCGCGGCGGGCACGCCATTAACCTGGAACCCGCGGAGAGGAACATTCAGCCCGCGTGACCGCTCTCACCTGCGTGAAAGCTCATTCTCAACGATGATCTGCAACTCCTCGCCCACGCTCAATCCGGACGGCCAGGGACAAGGCGCGCCAATCAGCGACGCGGGAACGGGGTTCTCATATCAACTTGCGAAACCACTTCAAGCGACAGACTCTGAAATCAACCTCCCATGGGGACAAATCGCCATAGCTGCAGTACTCTCGTGGCTGGGAGCGAACGTCGATGGACATTATGCCACTCAGTCGCAGTTTCTGTCAATGCTCGCCGAGCGAAAGCAACCACTGAAAGCTGCAGTCTGGCAAGTGCGACGCCGCGAGGGAAAGAAGCCCAAGCACCGACACTGCTGTTCCTACGACCTCGCTCAAGAACACGGCGCGCTTCTCAACGAACGAGGTTCCGAGCTGGTACCAATACCGCCCCATGGACGAGTAGCCAGTCAAGGCAGCCGAGAGCCGGTCCTCAAGCTCACTGTTAAAATTCACATCGAAGCGAACTAAGGACCCAAGATCTGAAGCTAAATAATTAAGCACCAGCTATCGGGGGCAGTTTTAGACATTCTTTACGAGTCTAACGTCCACGACCCTGGAAAGAAACCACGCACTCGTTCTTGCCCGGGCCAAACATGCATTTACGCCCGGCTAAGCACGTAGACAATACTTGGCTGCAGAGGCGCGACTGTCGGCTCAAAGAGAGCGCACCATTCTCGCAAGGACAGGCAACCAGCTGGCGGAGCGCATCGTCTGCATGGCCATGAAAGGCCACGACCATCTCGAGGGGCCCGCGCCCATGAGAGCGCGGGTCAACCATGCACCAGTTCGCAGCGGACTCACCTGCAGCTGCATCTTCAACTTGTGCTTCCGCCAAGCAATCCCCAATGTCCCGAACAGAGACTTTGACGGCCGACGGGCCCCCCGGCGGAGCACCAAACCACGCTTTCGCAAACCAACACCAAGCCACGCTCCGATAACAGACTGCCGAGAACTGAAACTGCCGCTCGCGATAGCCATGCCCCCGCCCCCTCGCGACCCCCTTGCTTGCCCTCTCCGAAGCCCCTCACCCACTGGACCCAAACGCATTCATAGCATCTGCATGCCCACTTGCACCATTCACGAGCACGCTGCGCAAGAAGTGGCATTTCGCGCCACCTACTCGCGATGAACCCGTTCGAAGACAAGCGCCACTCACCCCACCGCTGTGGAACGCGGCAGCAAAACGCCCTGCCGATAGACAAAGCACCCGCACACTCTTTCCCAGGACAAGGCTGCGGCCTGAGACAAATGCCACACTAGAGGAACCCGCTGAACGCGCAGAATGTTGCGCATCAGCGCCACCAGAAATCCACGCGCAGTCTTCAGTTCGACGCTTGGGCCTTCATAACTTGCACCTCGATACTTTTTGATGATATTCGCTTGCAAATGGAAAAGACCACCCAGGACATCCCCATCGGGACCGACCATTCCGGAACAGCTCTCAGTCGTGCTGCTGTTTGAAAACACGTTCGAACCTGCCCGGGCCCACCCCCAGCCCATTGGGCCCCCTCCTTCGAACATTCCCACTGGAAGTAACTAGCCTCTTGCCTTTCAACAGGATGGCATAACTATCAGTTAGCGTACTTGGCCCCACCAATGACATTCACAATCATACCTCCCAGAGAATAAGAAAAAGAGCCACCTACCCTTCAACTCCTTACTCGCGGGGGGCGCCGAGGGAGGACAATGATAGTTCCTTCCTGCCCCCTGTCCCCCGAGCAGAGAGCAGCTGACATGGCCTGGCCCCATCAGCCTGCCTGCCAAGCCGTAAGGCTTCGCTCAGGACATAAGAAGCGCCAGACCTCCATTGCTTGAGATGAAAACGTCGGAGCGAAAGAAGCTGCTTGGACTCGGCACGGATTTGCCCACTGATGCACGGGCTTGCCTCCGAAGAGAAATGCCCTGAAAGCTCGGGGCGGAGTTGTCGACGACGGGCCAAGAAAGTCAGGACTGTTCGAAACCTCCCCGGGCAACCAAGGAGGCCTATGGACAGTTCCAATAAAAATGTTTCTCTGCCATTTGACTGAGAGCGCGCGCGAAGGCAGCCCAGCTTTGAATTGGGGGCCCGATTCCCCAGATACCCATCAGCGCCCATTTTTTCCAACGAGCACGCCGGGTTAAAAGAACACGCGAGCATAATCCTGGAGTTCAATGGCCGCGGAACCAATGGCATCGGAAAGGACACACGTAAACTGCACATGTAGGAAGAGGCGGCCCCTACGCTGTCGATGTCTGAAAACTGTAGCTCCCCGGCTAGTTCACGCAAAAGACCTGCAGGGATGACTCGTTCAAGAACGCATTTGGGGATGAACAAATAGTTTAGCATTGAACCACCATCTGCGGCACCATAATACCCCGGGCCCGCGCCAATTCGCAAGTTGACCGGGGCAAAGCCCAATGCCTGAAGCACCGTTATTTGACGGGACGCGCATCCCACCTGGCGCGGTTACTCTGCACTTCCGCCCAATCGCCACGCCCACTGAGTCGAATCCAAAGCTATTAGGGCCCATGGCCAGGATCGGCAAGCGTCGGAACACAGCCAGAAACTGCAGACCTGATCGAGCTTCCAATGAGGCCACGTGCTCCTGCACAACCAAGACATTTAGAAGCGCGTCGCGGTGGGCGGGGGGGCGCACCCAGACCTCCGACGTCGCGATTTTTCACGACGCGACCCCCAATGGTCCAGACCCATTTGCCGGGACAAGATTCTCATCCCGAACCGTTCTTCGACGGCCCCGAGGGCCAGCGAGGGCCCCCAGAGGCCGCAGAAATAATGAAAAACCTCCCGTCGCCAGTTTTCACGATTCGACGCGGGCCCGGGCACGCTGGAAACGCCGAGGTCACCATGACTGCCGCGAGCCCTGATCGCCCCCCCTCGCCCAACGAGGCGGGGAGAGGGGCAGACCGGGCGCGGGCCATCGCGCCGCGATTGAATCGGGCACGCCCCTCTACAGGAAGAGCATTCCAAAAGAATCAAAAAATAATATGGAGACGACTTTTCGACTATGTTTTGCTATTTTTCAGATTTTGAATTATTTCTCAATTTTTCATCCAAAATCCGCCCGCGGGGGGACACGCCCGACTTAATGCCACGGCGCGGCCGCGGCCCCAGCACGATGGTGCACCCCGCGCCATTGCCGCTAGCTGGGGCGCGCGCCCACCCAGCCCCCGCCGCCCACCACTTCCCGGCTGCCCCCCAAACGACCCCCCCCTGCCAAATCTGCCCCCCAGACAATCTCCTCCAGATAATCCCCCACCGGCAAACTCCTTCATACAATATCCTCCAGCTGTCCTCCCAGCTGTCCTCCAGACAATCTCCTCCAGACAATCTTCCCCTTGCCATGGTTGCGAGCCCCCGCCCCTGCCAGGCATGCAGAATCGAACCCAATAGCAACTTGCTCAGCGCCCGGCAAGCGGTCGCAGGATTTCGCCGAGATCGGGGTCAACTGTAGCATAGACATATCATTCAACCTTCTCATGAAAGCTGCCGATGGCCAGCAGAGCCGTCGTCTGCAACTGCACCCAAGACAAGCATCTAGGGGAGAGCATCAGATAAGCGTGGCTGCGTGGGAGGCCGCGATAAGGGAGTGCGCGAGGGAACCACGCGTACTTCGCAATCGGAACGCCCTCAAGCCTGCGCCAAGGTGCTTTCGAAGAGGATGAGGAGAAGGAGTCAGGAAGAAAAGGGCGAGGATGATGAAAATTACTCGCTGCGTGGAGCTACCCATATGTGCATTGGGATTTTAAAATGAGCGTCTAGCCATATGAGCCACATGTGCATATCAGAGTGTAGGGTAGTGTTATGGTGAACATAAGTCTGCGATAGTTGTGTTATAAGAGCGCGTTTACGTGAGCGACGAGCACACGCGCGCGCAGCTCGGCTGCACACCCAACACATGCATATGTTCATCCGCAAGCATATATCAGCGCATCGGTTTTGTCACAGGAAAGAGCTCATTGGCACTGCGTCGCAAGCACCGTGGCAGAGGTCGTTCGCTCGCGCCGCCCACACCAAGATGGGGCGACCCAATAGAAGAACCCAACGAGGAGTTCACGCGAAGTGCCGCCCGCACTTGGCATCGGGCCATGTTTGGGCAAGTGAACCTCTGCAAGTTCCCTTTCCCGCGGTTGAAGGGTGAAGCTTGTCAAGCCTCCCCTTAAGTCCGACCACAAGAGGGAGAGTGAACCTTTTCAGGTTCCCTCCCCCCCCGCCTGGAGAGTGAACCTTCGTTGCAAGTTCCCTGTCCAATCCGATCGCACGCGGGAAAGTAAACCTTTACAAGTTCCATTTCCCGCGACCGAAGTCTGTGCATGAGTAAGTCTAGGTATGAGGAGGAGGAGGAGGAAGAGGAGGAGGAGAAGAAGATGAGGAAGGAGGAGTAGGAGGCGCCAGAGTTATGATTACTCACTGCGTGGAGCTCCCCGTGCGTGCATCCTTTCTAAAAAGTAATATTGCATCTGGGATAGTTAAATGAGCGTCTAGCCATATGAACCAGATGTGCATCTCATATCGCAGGGTAGTGAAATGGTGAACGGATGTCTATGATAGTTGTGTTATAAGAGCGCGTCTACGTGAGCGACGAGCACACGCGCGCGCAGCTCGGCTGCACACCCAACACATGCATATGTTCATCCGCAAGCATATATCAGCGCATCTTTTTTGCCAAAGCAAAGAATTCATTCATTGCACTGCGTCGCAAGCACCGTGGCAGAGGTCGTTCGCTCGCGCCGCCCACAACAAGATGGGGCGACCTAGAAGAAAAACCCAATGAGGAATTCACGCGGAGTGCCGCCCGCACTTGGCATCGGGCCATGTCTGGTCGAGCGTCTAAGAGAAACGCAAGATGACGGGGCCGAGTGGAGACGTTCGCGCATTGTCCGTCCGCACCTGGAATCGGACCAGGTTTGGCTCAGCGCGAAGGCAGGGGAATAGCTGGGCGCGGAGACAAAGGCAATACAAGCAAACAGCCGTCTGCACTGGAGAGCGAACCCTTTCAAGTTCCCTCCCCTGTTCGATCGCATGCGGGAAAGTGAACGGTTGCAAGTTCCCTCTCCCGCGACTGAAGGGTGAACCTTTGCAAGGTCCCCCTTCCAGTCCGACCACACGAGGGAAAGTGAACCTTTTTCAAGTTCACTGTCCCTGCCGGGAGGATGAACCTTGTCAATTTCCCTCTCCAGTTCGACCACAAGCGGGAAAGTGAACCTTTTCCACTTCCCCCCACCGCAGCTAGAAAGTGAACCTTTTTTCAAATTCCCTCCCCAGCCCAAAAAGCACGCGGGAGACTGGACCTTCTCAAGTTCCCTCTCCCGCTGGCGACGACAAGATTGGAAAACACCACTGAGAGAAAGCAACATCCCACGGTGACACCAGCCCTGCGCCAGCAACACCTGGCCACTCCTCCTTGACCGCCGTACGCAACGGAGAGAGCCACTCGGGGCACAACGCAGAAGCAGAAAACCGGCACACCGCTAGAGACGTCCCCTCAGAACGGCGACGAACGGAGCCGTGAAAGCACCCTTGGCGGCTCCCCTTAGGGGTGCTGAAACCAGCGCCCCGCCTGAGACACCACCACAATCTGCTCTCCAAGCGAAGGATGTTGGGACAGAATACAAGCAAACCGCTTCAGACATCCCCACAAAACGGCCGCGAACGGGGCCGTGTCATACCCATCGGCGGCTCCCCTTAGGGGTGCTGAAACCAGCGCCCCGCCTGAGACACCACCACAATCTGCTCTCCAAGCGAAGGATGTTGGGACAGAATACAAGCAAACCGCTTGAGAATTCCCCACGAAACGGCCGCGAACGGGACCGTGTCATATCCCTCGGCGGCTCCCTTTAGGGGTGCTGAAACCATCGCCCCGCCTGAGACATTCTCACAATCTGCTCTGTGTTGAGTAAGTCAGACAATGAGAAGGTCTGGATATGAGTAAGTCTGGGTATGAGTGAGTCTCAGCATCAGTAAGTCTGAGTATGAGTAGGTCTGAGTCTGAGTAGGTCTGAGCATGAATAAGTTAATATGATGAGGTCTGAGTATGAATAAGTCTGTATATGAGTCATATGAGTAACTCTGTGTATGAGTAAGTCTAGGTATGAAGAAGAGGAGGGGGAGGAAAAGGAGGAGGAGGAGAAGAGGAAGGATGAGTACGAGGCGTCCAACTAATCACAAGAACCCCATCCTCGGATATGGGGAACAAGAACCGCATCTCAGGATATGGGGAACAAGTGAGACGGAAGACAGCGACGACGACGACGACGACGGGCGGACCAGCAAAGGAAGGTCCACGCTCCGCCGTGGAAGGGCAGAACATCTACCAAGAAACGTGTGCCCCATGACCCTCCACCTGTCCTTCCCTATCCGCCCTATCCTCCTCCTCCTCCTCCTCCTCCTCCTCCTCCTCCTCCTCATCATCATCATCCGCCCAATCCTCCTCCTCATCATCTTCATCAGAATCACCATCATCGCCATCATCATCATCATCATCATCATCATCATCATCATCAGCAGCAGCAGCAGCATCAGCAGCAGCATCACAGTCATCATCATCACCATCGTCATACTTATCACCATCGTCTTCATCACCACCACCATCACCATCACCATCGTCGGCGTCATCATCATCGTTGCCGTCATCGTCGTCTGCATCAGCATCAGTACCATCAGTCGCATCAGCATCATGTTCATCATTATCATCATCAGCAGCAGCAGCAGCTCCATCATCCTCATCCTTATCATGTTCATCCTCATTAGCATCGTCACCATTATCATCATCAGCAGCAGCATCATCAACATCATTATCAGCAGCATCATCTTCATCATCAGCAGCAGCCTCCTCATCAGCAGCATCATCATGATCATCACCAGTCACATCATCATCCTCATCCTGATCCTCATCGCAATTGGAAGTATCATACCTCGTCCTCATCATCAGCAGCAGTCTTATCACCATCCCTCCAGGTCACGTCCGCCAAAGCCTGATAGCGGTGACATAATAGTAATCCTCGCCATCGTTAATCATCTGCAGCAGCGGCAGCAGCAGCATCATGACCGTCATCATGTTAATGTGCATACGCCTTATCATGACCATCACTACAATCATCAGCTTCATCATCATCCTCCTCAGTAGCTGTTGTAGCACCAGCAGCATGTTCGATGATAGAATCAGCGTCGCCATCACCAATGGCCTCGTCGTCGGCATCGTCATCAGCAGCAGCATCCCTGTCCTACCACTCTTCCCCGTCCTCCTCATCATTCCTATCCTCCTGTGGATTCCCCCCCATCCCACTCCCGCTCCCCCTGCCCTGACCGCTTCCCTGGTCCCGACCCCTCCTCCGGATGCCCATTGCATTTTGACCGCCCCAACTCCTCGGGCTTGCAGTCCTCGTCTTGCTCCCGGCCGGTGCAGTTTTTGGCAAAGTTGGTGAAGTCGTCCTGGGTGCTGTCGCTCCAGGTGTAATGGGTGTCCTCAGGAGGGAGGAGGAGGAGGAGGAGGAGGAGGAGGAGGAGGAGGAGGAGGAGGAGGAGGAGGAGGAGGAGGAGGAGGAGGAGGAGGAGGGAGGGAGGGGGGGCAGGTGGCCTCCTGAGCACCGCCTCACGAGACCCAGGAGGGGCCCCTCGGGGCGCAAACGGAGGCGCGAGAAGGCGAGGATGGCTCCCCTCCTCGTCGTCGTCCTCGAGGTTGCAGGTCCCGAGTTGCTCTCAATCCAAAATACCCACGGTGGAGAGGGCGGGCGTCCGAGCCCTCGGCCCTCCGGTGTGCATGCCTCAGCGTGCAGCGCCGAGGGCCTGAGGCCGAAGCCATGCGGCACAGTTCCTCCTCCCCCTCTCCTCCCTCCTCCTCCCTCCTCCTCCTCCTCCTCCTCCTCCTCCTCCTCCCCCTCTTCCTCCCCTCCTCTCCTCCTCCCTCCTCCCCCTCCTCCCTCCTCCCTCCTCCTCCTCTCCTCCTCCTCCTCCTCCTCCTCCTCCTCCTCCTCTCCTCCTCCTCCTCCTCCTCCTCCTCCTCCTCCTCCTCCTCCTCTCCTCCTCCTCCTCCTCCTCCTCCTCCTCCTCCTCCTCCTCCTCCTCCTCCTCCTCCTCCTCCTCCTCCTCCTCCTCCTCCTCCTCCTCCCCCTCCCCGTCCCCCTCCCCCTCCCCCTCCTCCTCCTGCTGCTCCTCCTCCTTCTCCTGCTGCTGATGCTGCCCCCCAGAGTCCGTGACGAAGGCCGACGGTTCTGACTCAAAGGCATGGGCATGGGCCCAACATGTCGCCCGTAGCCTCGCGCCTGCAGACGCAGGCGTAGCGCACAATGCACAGGACTTTCCTCGGCGCCACAGAGGCCTCGGGAAAACAAGCCAGATGTCAGGTACGCGAGGCCACCTCGACAAGGAGGCCACTCGAAGCCATAGAGCGGGCACGATTGAACCTGCACCTGCCCGAGGGGGGGGGGGGGGGGGGGGGGCAACGCAGCGCGGCATCGCCTTTGAGCTTGCACGGGCTGCTCGCCCCTGGCGCGGGTGCTCCTCGCGGCAGGGCCCCTTCGACAGGCCGCAAAGCGTCGCGAGCGGAGCGTCAAAAGGGCTTGAACGGAGATCGCAGCAGGAGAACCAGCCGCAACAGCGCACTGAAACTTACTTGGCACCGGGCCGTTCGCTCCTGCGCGTGTGCTCCTCGCGCCAGGGCCTCTCGGGCAAGCTTCCCCGCCCCGGTGCCCTCCGGACGCGCTGCTTCGGTGGCAGCTCGTGGGAGCCTCCCATACCATCGTGTCGGCTGTTGCGAATCGACGCCAGTCGACGCTGAATCGACGCTACTCGACGCTAAGTCGGCGCTAATCCGCGCCAAATCGGCGCTGAATTCATCGACTCCCAGGCGCTAATCGACGCGAGTCGGCGCTGCGAAGAGAATCACGAGGGTACACAAGGCTTCCATGATCTGCGACCGAACAATGCGGCGCTCACATCAGGAATCCAGGAGCCCATGCCGCACTCCGAGGGACGTCGGCCTCCAACCACTGCAGCGTGCCTCGGAGTGCTCTCGGCGTTTCGCCTGCAGCACTGCGGCGCGAGGAAGGGAGCAGACGCCAGCTGGCGGAGCCGAGAGCCTCTCACAGAGCAGCTGGCCTCTTCAGCAAGGACACCACGACTGGCAAGTTACCTCCTCGCTCTCTGGCCGGGTGCCGTCCAGGTACCGTCCTGCTGGCTGTCCAGTGGGTACCACCGCGAGGTAGATGGCGACGACTGAGCGAAGTGGTCGCTCGAGCCTGTCCGTCCGCGTCCAATGCAGTGGCACCAAGCCGATCGCACCACAAGCCGAAGACGCTGCCCTCCTGCAGCTTCCATTGAAGCTCCTCGTTGCGCTCGAGATCGAGGCCCTCGGGGCCCTGGAGCACCCGGCAGGGGCACCAGGGCAGGCCGCAGCTGCGGGGAGCCTGAAATCTTCGCGTCGACGCTTGCCATCGCGGCCATCGCGAGCCCGAGCCTCCTGCCTCTCTCTCTGTCTGTCTCTCTCTCCCTCGAGCACCTCCGGGGTGCACCCCATGTGGCCACACAGAGTCTCGGAGTGGAGAAGACGCCAGTGCAGCCGTGGAACGCGGGCCACCCGACGCCCAGCGCACGTCGCTCCACACGGGCGTTCGCCACGGGGGCTCCCCTGGACGTGCACAAAGCCGGCGGGCACCCCGCGGAGGAAGGCGCCGTCCTCGGGCGGCTCCGCCAGAGAGCGTGCTGCCTCGGAGGGGAGGGGCCGACAGCGCGCCAGGACCTCCGAGAGGCCGCCCGGCCCCGCCCGGGGAGACCTGCCCGAGAGAGCCGACGCGTCGACCTGTGTTCCCGGGTGCGCGGCAGCCAGGGCCCCGCCGTTGGGCGCCCGCTTGCATGCGGAGGGCGGCGGTGCCGTGGCACGGGATGGCACCGATTCCCATCCGGCCACTCTCGGGAGGCAACTACTGGGATGTCTTCGTCGGAAGGATTAGGGAGGAGTAGGCCCCACTGGGGGTGTTACGCCAGAGTGGGCCTCGGATCAAGCGGGATTGAGCCGGATTAAGTGGGATTCAACGGGATTAAGCGAGATTAAGCCGGATTAAACAAGATTAAGCCGGAGTAAACGGGATTTCGGACAAGGGCTAAATCAGAATTTGACCTCCCAGGGATTGCATCCGAACCACTCTGGTCGCCGTCTGCTCGTCTGGCGATGCACCCAGAAAAAGACGCGCTGTGTCGTACGGCACGTCGCTCAAGCTGGCTTCAGCCAGAATGATTCCTGGGTGCATGATGCTGAGAACCTGGGGCTGAGGGCGCAGTGCTTATCGCTGAAGGACCAGCGCGCAACGCACAGGGCGGAAGGCTTAAGTCGGTGATGAGAGGCTACAAATCTATACGCCTTGTGCTGAATGCCACTATCCTGAGGGCTGGCACATTGCGCTTCGCTCTGACGGCACGTCAATGATTTGGACTTACGTATATGTCTAAACTGTTTGAGCCTGTGGCCTGAGTGATAGCAACCATACTCGAGAAGTGGCAGCAGAAGATGGAGCCCAAAGGACCAAGGCGCACAGAGCTAGGCCAAAGCGCCTCAAGCCATCTGACTCTAGAGTCGGGCTGAGCGCATCACAATCTTAGACTACTGCATTGGTAACACTATTGAGGCCCAAGCGCCCTGGGCTTAAAGTCCAGTGCATAGTGCTGAGCGCGAAGGACACAAGGTCATTGCCCTGGCCCTGGAGCACGGTGCGCATAGAGTTTGACATGTGCATCGCGGTTGTCGCCAAGCCCACACTGCCCCTGTTGGATAAGCGAAGACGTAGAAATCCCCTTAGGTTAGCACAGCGCGTGCTGGTGATGCTGGCGGTGGCGAGCGGCGATGACGATCGCGATACTGATGGTGTTGGAGATGACACAATTGATGGCATGACGATGGCATGGGGATTGTACGAGCGCGGCAGCCTGCAAGACCTGAAAAGGCCAAGCGGCCCCTGGCCTGCAAGGACCTTGTCCTCCCCCGCTCCCCCCGTGCGAGGCTCCCACAGGATCCCACAAGAATGCAGTGGAGGCCAATCCACAAGAGACCTTCAACGAGAAACCCAACCCTGAGACCCCGGGACGATCATTGATTTTTGGCGTGGGAGCGTCACGCTTTCCATAGCGAAACCATCGAGACCCAAGGAACCCAGGGCACGCTGGAGGCAAGCAGGGTGCTTCTTGGCATGGGCATCCACTGTGTGCTTCGCTCTGCTCCGATACAGTCGAGCACGCGAAGTCCTCCAAATCCTCCACGAAGACAGGCCCTCGGCCGTCGATATCTGCGGGGGGGTGTCCGACATGCCGCTCCTCCTTTTCTCCAGGGGCTGGATTCCCCGAGAGATCCTTGGAAGCCCAGACCCTCGCCGCTTCGAGCTGGGCTGACATGTGTTTTGTGGTATCGGAAAGGAGCTCCGAGGGGGGGTGTGGCAGGGCAAAGACATCGTCTGTCCTCCACCTCCTTCTCCTCCACCTTATCCACCTCCTCCGTCCGCCTATCCCCTCCCCCTCCTTTATCCACCTCTTCCATTCGCCTATCTCCTCTTCCTCCTTCTCCTCATCCTCCTCTTCATCCTCCTCCTCCTCCTCCTCCTCCTCCTCCTCCTCCTCCTCCTCATCATCATCATCATCATCATCATCATCATCATCATCATCATCATCATCATCATCATCATCATCATCATCATCATCATAATCAGCAGCATCATCATCAGCATCATCATCCTCATCCTCATCCCCATCCTCACATCATCATCAGAATCATCATCAGCATCGTCATCATCATCATCATCATCATCATCATCATCATCATCATCACCATGTCATCATCATCATCAGCAGCAGCATCATCATCAGCAGCATCATCAGCATTATCAGCATCCTGATCATCATCATCATCATCATCATCATCATCAGCATCATCATCATCATCACCATCATCATCATCATCATCATCATCATCATCATCATCATCCTTACCACCAGAATCATCACCACCATCATCATTATCATCATCAGCATCATCAGCAGCATCGCCATCGTCATCATCAGCAGCATCACCAACAACAGCAGCAACATCATGATCATTATCTTCAGCAGCAGTATCATCATAATCGTCATCATCGTCATCATCATAATCCTCATCGTCATCATCGTCGTCATCAGCATCTACATCATCATCATCGTCATCGTCATCATCGTCGTCATCATCATAATCACCATCATCGTCGTCATCATCATCAGCATCAGCATCATCATCATCGGCATCAGCATCATCATCAGCAGCAGCAGCATCAGCATCGTCGTCATAATCATCATCCTTCTTCACGTCCTCCTCCTTTTCCTTCTTTTCCTGCTCCTCCTCAACCTCCTCCTCGCTCTTGCGTCCTGGTCTAAGTCCGT